GCTGCTGCTGCCAGCCCTATGTTTTTACATACACTTTTATTTGTATAATTTCCATGAAATTTTTTTATCTTCAAGTAATTTAATTATTCACAATACCATATATGAAGTTTAAATGTGATTGATTTAAGGAATGAACGTAAAAATAATACATAATTGGAAATACAGTAATTCCTTCAATTGGCCTGGTTCTCTTCAAAGTGGGATTTCACATGGGGTGGGTTTCTGTTCTTCATGTTTCTATCATCGTCTGTTCAGGATGACCAAATAAGTTATTTTATGTGTTTATTATATATATTATAAATAAAGTTGTTAAAAAAAGTAACAAATGGATGTCAAAAAATAATTATCTGTGTACAGAGCACAAGCGGGTCGTTCCCCAATTAATCGAATAGGTTGTTGGTTCCTGGTGCCGAAGATCCTTGAGATCACTGAGTGAATGTGTGTGAAAGGTGAATGTGCCATGTAGTGTAAAAGTGCTTTGAGTGGTCGGTAGACTAGAAAAGGGCTATACAACTACAGGTCCATACATACCATAATAAGACATTTTTTCAGTATTTTGTGCGGTTCTTGTTTTCATTTACAGTGATCTGAAATTCTGTTCTGTTCTCCCCTGAAGTGCACATCAGTTACCTGTATGAAGAACGAGCACTGTGCCTTGAAGGGGGGTGTAAGGGACTGCTACCCAGAATCCTACGCATCATGCCAGGGCACTGGAGACCCCCACTACCGAAGCTTTGACAATCGGAGATTTGATTTTCAGGGCACTTGCACCTATATCCTGTCTCAGCTCATCAAGGGATCAGAGCAGAGCCTGGTACCTTTCCAAGTGCTGGTCCAAAATGAGAACAGAGGGTCTAACAAGGCTGTGTCCTTCACCAAGACTGTCTCTATTAGTTTATTTGGTAACTTCACTGTCAGCATGAGTCATACCAGTCCAGGACAGATACTGGTAAGATCAATCGTCCTACTATAGAGTTTACTTCTAGTTCTCCTCACCATATCTTTATAGTATCATATAAAGTAGAAACAGTCCAAAGAAACTTTTATGGTTCAATTCCGTTTACATTGAAAAATCCATTTTTATTTAATAGCTATCCATGACCGCCGGTTCACCACTTATCCTTCCTTGTACCACTTTTGATGTGTACTGACCACTGCAGAGCAGAACCAATAAAGTTGGTTATAATCACATGTACAAATGTGGGGAAAAAAGACCATTAATATGGGCTAAATTACAAACATATACTAAAAGTGTGTCTTACTCCAGCAGGTGTTTTATTCCGGTGATTCCAAGTGCTAGCTTACATTTAGCTTATGGGATCCTTTCTTAGTAATATGGGTAATGGGTTATCCCAACAGTAATACTGTTCAGGCTGCAATGGTGGTTAGCAGTTTTGTGTGTTTGTATGCCAGCTCTCAGGAGAGTTTGAAGCACTAAAAATAAAGGAAGACTAATATATATTATAAAGCTAAGAAAGCAAACATTATACAACAAAGACTCAAAGAAATTGTAGTTGTCGGGTGAATAGATCAGTATTTTTTTTGGGGGGGGGTCTTTTATTGCCTTTATGATAGTGACAGCTGGAGAGAGACAGGACATGACAGCAAAGGACCGCAGGTCGGATTTGAACCCTGGGCCGCTGTAGCATGGACTCATCCTCGGTACATGGGTCGCCAGCTCTACCCACTGAGCTAACTGGGCACCCAGACTTAAAGTAATACATATCATTTTTAGTGTTATTTTGCAACACTGCAGGCAGCCTATGTGCTGGGGGTGTTGTGCAATAGCAGCAAGATCATAATTTCAAACCATCAACAGCGTTCTCTGTGCTCCTGAACTGAGTTAATTTAAGATCACTGTTTCAGTGAGTTAAGGACAAGAACACAAGTCTGTTCTTTGTATTCTTGATTTTGAGAAGAAGGCCCATACTTTTTCACACTCATCAATAACTAGTGAATTTATGAATTTTAGCTAAAGCAAAGCACTTTTACAAAGATTAAATGTTTTAAATGTGCCTCTCACCAAGCACCAAGCAATGGTGTTGGAGCTGCCATTCAAGGCACTGGCATTCTTTTTGCTCAAAGATATTAGGATATGGGAATAGTCTCAAACCACCAACCATTGGTTTAAAAGGAGACCTGCACTCCTGAGCCACAGCATCCCCAAGCCCTACATAGCCCCTTTTCCTGTTTGTCTAAAGCCTAATATATCTTTCTTGGTGTCATCCGTTGCCCATAAACGATTAAACACATCAGTCAGCAATCAGTTGTACTGACATGTTCCTTCATTATTATGAACACACACTGTAGTTTATTTTGACTTAATCCCACATACACTATCCAAATATACTCACTAGAGCACCCAGTGTGTGTTAATCCACAGCTGAAAATAGTCCCCAGCAAATTAAAAACCACAGTGGCTAGCCTTTTAACAAATAATTAAACATCTTTTTAATGAAACTATATTTGTGTGCTGTTTTCAAGACTTCAAAAGGAGCCAATGGGCTTGGGTCACAGACAGGGTAGAGAAGCCAGACTGTATTGAGAGATAGAATACAGACTACAGACTACAGATTTGTTGACAATAAGGAAAATATAGACTAACCGCTGTTGTTGTACTTTAACATCATCTCATAATAATAGATAGGAAAAAAAAAAACGACATACCAAAGGGACAGCATTTTGTGACAACACATGGTGGCTGGGCTATAACGTTTCTATGAGAAGCAAAAGCACAAAGCTCATATTATGTAACATTTCTTTCTTACCTTTTGAGAAAGAAAGTAAGTAGTATCTAAGTATATCTTAGATATTATCAGTGCTGTGGAGTGACTGAATCTGATGTTGTAGGATAAGGTGTAAAAGCCGTGCCTTTTGCAATGATCAAGCACATGCTGGTACATACCAATTCTGTGTCTATATATTTTTTGTAACATGTCCATGACTGCCCCCTCCCCAGGTAAACACTCAGTCAGTGAACCTGCCCTACTCCATGGAAGATGGCAAGCTTTCCTTGTTCAGGCGGGGTTACTTTGGCATTGTGACAACATATTTTGGTTTGACGCTCAGGTTCAACTGGAACAGCCACATCAGCTTGACTTTACCCAGTTCATACTCTAGTTCTACAACTGGTAAGTTGGGTGTGCCTCACTCGTAGTTGTTTTGTTTATTCAGAATTTTTTAACCAATCAATATAAGACAGCAGCACTGTGTTTATAAAGCACACATGCAAGCTATGTCAATATGGTTTATAGCAATTTATGACAGCAGTCGAAATGCTGGGGCCTTTATAAAGCAAGATCAAAATGTTATTCTGCTATCTTTGAGCTAAAGCTACTTTTTTCCAATATCACAAAGCTAACAGAGTATTTATCACCATGATAAACGAGGTGAGTTACCATGGTAACCTATGCTGCATGGCTAACCTGTTCCAGACCAGATTAATGTCAGAAAGGTATCAGAACACACAGTGCATCCCAGTTTGTTTTGTACTGCGCTGCAAACCAGTAAGGGTGGCCAGCTGGTCATAATGTTATAGATGATCAGAGTAAGTTTAAGGTTAACCATATCTGGAGGTAGGTTTGAAGTGGAATAGTAGTAAAAATGCATTGTGCTTTCTTAATATACTAAATCAGGGGTCTGCAAGTAAGTTTTCAAAAATGGCGGGCCAGAACACAATCAAAGGATCATTTGAATTCAATTCAATTCAAATTTAATGTATAGCGCCAATTCATAACAGAAGTTATCTCAGGACACTTTTAAAATAGAGCAGGTCTAGACTGAACTCCTTATAACATTATTTACAGAGACCCAACAGTTCACACCATGAACAAGCACTTGGTGACTGCGGCAAGGAAAAACTTGAAAGAGAACTTGAAAAGGGTGGGTGGCCGTCTGCCTCAACCAGTTGGGGTTAAAGAGAGAGAGACAGAAAGAAAGAGAAGAACAGAGGTAACGACAGAAGGACAGAGACAAAGGTGCATAGCAACAAAAGTGGCAACAACTACACTAATAGTAGTGACTGATGGTGATGATGAACATGAAAAAGATGATGCTTGTTCAGGGGTGATTTGCTGTCCTACAGCAACAGACGCTCTGGTTAAAGTTAGTATGACCCGTTTGATTGCTTTCAGACCAATGGACTCTCTGTACTCTGTTCTCTGTACTCTGTATTATTAGATCTTAGTGCTGCATTTGACACCATTGACATAATATTCTTTTACAGAGAACATGTCTTAGGACATAAATCCTGGATGACGCTGCATTTTCTGATGTTACAACTAAAAAAAAAATTAATTCTTTGGTACTTGGTCCCAAAACTAAGTCTGCTCCGAACCACACGTGGAAGCTGGTCCACAGGAGAGGAGTTTGGTAATGAAGGCTCTGGGCTCTGTTCTACTTTTTTAGAGACTATAAGGAACCAGCAAGTAGCCCTGCATTAAGAGTACCGCAGTGTTCTAGAGGGGTATAGGGGTACTATGAGCTCTCAAGATATGAAGGGGCCTGACATGAAGAGTTTTATAGGTGAGGAGGAAAATGATATGTGAAATTCTATTCTAAATTTTACAGGGAGCGCATGCAGAGAAGCTACGAACAGGAGAGAATGTGATCTCTTTTCCTAGCTTCTGTCAGTACTCGTGCTGCAGCGTTCTGAATTATTGGGAGCATGTTAAAGAGGCTATATTGGGCCTGATAATAAGGGTTTGCAGTAATCATCTAAGATCTAACGAATACAAGTCCAGAGTCCATTGTCGGAAGAAACTTAAAGCCTCTTGGCGGCTTACACCAAACCCAACAGAATCGGTCATTTTGGATTGCGTCATTTTTGGCGTTCTATTTTCACTAACCTTCTCCCTGGAATGTATACAGCTCAAATTCACATTTGACACAGTCATCTAAAGACATTTATGATTAAAGTTGTGCTATTTGTGACTGTGCTCAGAGCATGCCGTGGCGGTGGCATCCAAATTTCGAAGCCTCGCCATGAAACAGGAAGTTGTCGTAACTTACCAAGACACGTACAACCGCATGTACGGAAATTGGTTAGCGCATGTGCTATGCATATGCGTCAATAATGCTTGTATCTTGAAACGACATCCTATTAGGGATTTTATCAGATCAGGCTTTAAAATATGGTCAGTACAGTTAAAAATATTGGCTGATCAAAGTTGTGCTATTTGTGGCATGTACGTTAAGGATAGTGCCTGTGACATATGTGGTCGAATTCCGCCGATTGGCCTAAAACGATAGTAATCATAACTTCAAGTGTCGTGTCGCAATGTACTAACTTCATATTCTGTAAGCAGTCCCACCCTGAACACGTCCTCGACAACTTCCAGTGTACTATGGTCAATCTCATGAAACTTCACGAATGTTTTATACGAAGTCGGCAGCCCTGAACATGTCTACCCATGACATGATCTCAGATATTAGTATAGTGCCACCTACTGCAACAGGGAGTAAGGCTTGCGATGTTATTATGATCCTGCTCTTCCACGCAAATTTTCAATGTTGTGGTCGCGCAAGTTTACGACGGCACGTGTGCGGCAGCAGTAACAGTGGCTGTGCAGCTTTATTTATGGTTGCATTCTTCTGTCTTTCTATGCAAGCAACAGAGGACAGGGCAGTTCCAACAGCATACGTAAACACAGAAGAGAGATAGCAGACAAGACACAGCAGCAGCAGCACAAGAGGACAAGAGGAAGCAGAAGTGTCTTTTGAGTTGCTCTTAGTAAGGGCCCACTACCCACACCATTTGAAAACCCTGTCCTAGGGAATTGATCAGAAGCAACTTCGATTGGAGCACAGCATCCTACAAACATCCGGATTAAATGTTGTGTTTTTTACGTTATTACGTCGGAAAGCGTACACGTGGTGTGCTGTCCAATTTCAACCTTTGCATGAAAAAGGGATTTGTTATAATATTCTGCGTACATGATCCAATCGCAACAAAAATTTACATGTTTTGATAATACGTCCACCTGACACGTTTTGTGATAATATTCAGTAATAGTGAGAGCGCTAACCTAGTGGTGAACAGGAAATGCCTTTTTTATACTACCATGTTCTACTCCTAGAGGTTGATCGATCCAGCGAAACTAGTCAGAGGAAATGCAATCATTCTGTTGATGATATTCTCATGATTGTATGAAGTTTTTTGATCGAAGGCGTAGTCTGTGGCGTCGGCGTCAAATTTTGAATTGTCAGCAAGGACACCAACCGGTTGCCTATAACTTGAGTGTCGATTGGTCCATTAGGCTGCAAACTTAACTCCTGATAAGATCCAGCCCTGAACAAATCTATTGATATATTTCCTAATAGTGAGGGACGCACCTTAGTGTGACACGGAAATTCGTTTTTATAATATTATGTATATCTTCCATGAGATGACGAGCCAGCTGAAAATATGTCAGGAAGTTCCTTAAGGAGATGACGAGACATTTTACTCTTTAGAATTCTGCTGAACCAAATGTTTGCCATGGCGACCAAAATATGGCTTTTTCTGTCCAAGCATTATGACATTTTTGGGGGCCTAAACATGCATGAAAATCATGAAACTTTGCCAAATTCAGTATGGAAGGCTAATGGGTTTTGAAGGCTATGGGTATCTGTCTTGGTCCTGTTAGATGTGGCGTTGCTAAATGGCTTTAGCCACGCCCCCATAGAATCAAGACCCCAAGACACGTAATGACCGACAATGTACAAAATTGGTAGGCATTCGTGTATCGTGATTGGACAAAGGCCAAAACCACACCACGCCGGCTACGCCGCCTCCCGCTTCGACCGATACACGCACCAACACGGCCAGTCAGCCATCACCAACTTTGAATTTCGTGGTAATTGTTTGCGATATTTTCCTGCCCTCCTGGTATTCGCTGAACACGAAGCTCCGTCACCCGAGCGCCGCGACTCTCTCTATCAGCCCCGACAAACTCTACAAAACCCTCACCCTCACCAGGTCTACCAGCAAAATGTTGCTCGCTTCAACGCCTCCTGTGCCAATCTCTTGCACGTGCTACCTTAAAGGACTTGTCTGTGGCTTTACGTCAAAATAATATATTTTAATTTATTTTGGTCTTTTTGTGATTTATTCGCATTCATATTCTGCGCACCGATCATAACTCCCTCAGTGTACATGTGTCCAATCTCAACTGACTTTGCCCCATTCAACCGCAGTCCGGCCTGAAGCACTACACTGACCATAATACTTCAGCATACAGTGATCAGCCGCCACCTACTGGGGCAACAGGACAGTACACGCGCTGCATGGCACTACTTGATCTGCATTCTACGTGAAATTTCTGAAGCGCGTCACGTGCTCGTTCTCTGGGCACGCACGTGTCCCACTGACCACGCGT